CTTTCACCCTCAGAGTAGTTTTTCACCTGAGCAAGCTTTAGTCATCTTTGCTTGGCAAAGACTCCGTATCCCAAACAGCTTTGGAGCTGCCTGGAAGCAGCCACTGCTTATTGCAAGTAGTTTGTCATTGAAGAGACATAAAAAGAATTGGATCCTAAACCAGCCTCTGCCAATTCAGTCTTGGGCCTTTTTTTGGTCAGACCATACCCAAGATTTTGTTAGATGTGAACTGAAGTCAAGAAGCCTTCTAAGCTCTCGCTTATCTGGACTTGTGTAAAGCTTTTCACATGGTCCCCCACACCAAGATGGGCAGAGGCTGGAGCAGCTCTGCTGGGAGGAAAGGCTGGGACAGCTGGGATTGCTCAGCCTGGAGAGGAGAAGCTTTGGGGTGACCTGATTGTGGCCTCCCAGTGCCTGAAGGAGCCGACAGGAAAGATGGAGAGAGACTCTTGACAAGGGTCCGGAGGGACAGGACAAGGGGGAATGGCTTCAAACTGCCAGAGGGCAGGGTTAGGTGGGATATGGGGAAGGAATTGTTGGCTGTGAGGGTGGGCAGGCCCTGGCACAGGTTGCCCAGAGAAGCTGTGGCTGCCCCTGGATCCCTGGAAGTGTCCAAGGCCAGGTTGGACGGGGCTTGGAGCAACCTGGGCTGGTGGAAGGTGTCCCTGCCCATGGCAGGGGGTGGAACTGGGTGGTCTTTGAGGTCCCTTCCAACCCAAACCATTCTGTGACTCCATGACTCTCCAGTGTTATCACAGTGCAGAACCACTGGCACTCACACACTGTCCATCCCATCTGGATCATTCCTGTGTTTGCTGGTGTGAGAACTGGCCATTGTCATCATGACTCTGCTGCTCACTCTGCCCCAAATCACTCACGCTAGTTAGTATCAAACTTCAGTGACATGGTGATAAATCAGCTCAGATTGATTTTTTTTTCCCCCCCAATTACCTGTCATTTTGTCTATTGTAGGCTGGAGAGAGAAGCTGCTGTTCCAGGCAGGAATTCCCACCATCACCAGCCTTGGCAAGCTGCTTCCTTCCCTGTTTCTCAGTTAATGAAATCTGGTAAATTAACATTAGTGAAATGTTAATGGCTGATATTTCTAGGCTTCCCAGAGACTGGGCTGGGCCAAACCCCTTAATCCTTTTAGCTGATTCATGACCACATCCTCTGAAATGAAGAAATGTTGGCGAATGCAGTGATTG